TTTCATGTTGTACAGTAAATTGATTGCTCTTTTCAAATATCTTAAAAAAACATATAGGCATTGCATATAAAATTATATTTAGGTAACAAATCTCGCGTATCTCGAGACTGAGATATTGAGGTGACCCTATTATTTGAAACGCACTGTATATTTGTCACTCAATTGTTCTAAATTTTCTTTACTTGTAGACAGATTTCACGCAAGTAAATACGCAGCATAACTTCAAGGGTACAAAAAAATTAGTTATACATTTTCATGAGATAACACTATAACCCAACGAATGACTTTCTGAATAGTATTTTTCATATTTTTCTATGTTCGGGTTCAGGAACATAAATACTTACCAATTGGTTTTTTTTGTAGCGAAAATTTATACCTAAATTAATATAGTTATCAAAACGTCGTATCATAATGGGGGCCCAGCAAAAAATTTCGCACACAGGCCCGTGGCTACGTTGTTCCGCCACTGTCTCCTAACCTACTTAGCTTAGGATTTTGGAAAAATTCCCTGCTACAACCTTGCAATATAAAACAAGGTTACCTCGAAGGTTACGATACCAGGGGGATTCCATTCACCAAGGTCACGGAATGCGTATTGAAAAATGTACAAAGTTTGATATTCCGAAGGCTGTTCTGATTCTCCAAGGCCGTTCTGATTTTCCAAGGCAAACTTGCTTTCTGAATGTGTTTGCAGTATAATGCTGCCGGTAGTTTCCGGTTACCTTTCTATACTATATCTCTCATATCATCTTTTTCTTAAAGTTTACGTAATTAGAGTGATATTATAAAATGCTTGCCAGTTCTAAAACGTATTTCAAATATCTTCCTAAAACTTGGAAACTAAACTAATTGCTTAATGACCGTTGATAATTTTGTTGCTAACATATTAATAGTGACTGTGTCGTAACTACAATTTCGATCGTGTATCGCTGATGACCAATATAACAAGTCAAAAAGTCATTATGCATACGTAAATGACGAGAGCGTATTTTCCTCCTAATAATATAGGACCGGGAAAAAATAGGCACGTAATCCTTATATCCCATTGGCTTCCAAATGTGCCGCCTATCATAGAAATCTTTAAAGTTTATTGAAAAATAATGGCGTTTATGTAAATATAAACAAATTTTGAAATGGGCTTTAGCATGCACAACACAAACTTTTGAAAACAATAGTTTAACTTTTCTTTGGACAGTTTAACTTTTCTTTGGACAGTCTACAGAAATTTCATTGAATACCTTCATAAATATATCACTTAGTTTTACTTTCATTCAAAGTGCCTACATATTATGATAATTTCATTTAAATGCTTTCATAAATAAGAAAATTGGCATCGCGCATGGGCTTATTCGTAGTACATATTTACATATAAAGTTTCATTTAAATATCTTATGATAATGATAATATGAGCCCCATATAGCCCAAATCGGTTCAGTCGTGTAGAAGGAGTACGTGTGACGGACGGATGGGCGGACGACAAAGGGACAAATGAGTAGTGAACGTGAGAAAAACTTGGAACAAAATTTGTTGGAGTAAGCTTATGAGGAACATT